GGCTGGGGAATTCTGGGAGTTGAAGTCCGCACATCTTAAAGTGGCCAAGGTTGAAAAACACTGATACTGACATTCAAGATCCACCAGAATCACAGCAAGAAAGGTTGCTCCAAGTCACTGAGCCCCATAGCTGGATTTATTTTCTCCCCATTTGGAAGAAGACATCTCCAAGGTTGGGAAAACATCAGACTGAGGAATTACTGTTTTTCTTCTCCACCTCCTCTTCTCCATCGATCTTAGGTGATAATTATGACGTCGGAACCTTCTGATCAACTGCCATCAAAAGAGATCCAGGGGCGTCTTTATTTTGCAGACTCCCCGCGTGCTGGACATCGCTTTGTTTCTCAACCTTAGCTACCTTGATGAGGGTGGACTTCAGCTCCCAGAATCCCCCAGCCAGCAGGCTTCTTCAGAAAGTGATTCAGTTCCAGCACAATTGACAAATTACTGTGCGTGGTTGCTTGGGGGGAAGAGAAAAAGAACCGGGGCGAGGAATAGAAACGGCCTGCAAACGTCCCTTCCTTGTCTACCCTCCCTGGAGCATCGGAGAATGAAGCTCAACTGCAACAGAAAATCGAAATCTTTCCATGCCACACTTTCTACACCCACACACACCCTGCATTGTTTTCATAAAAGCTGTAAGAAGAAAATAACAGCCTGGCTGGATCAGGCCATGTCATGGTATGCGGGAATGACCTTGGGAGACGGGGAAGAGCCGCAGCCAGGGGAACAGTTGGAGAAGAGGCAGCTTAGCCCTCAGCAGGAATGGGGATGTGGCAAATGTTTTCAGAAGGGACCCTCCCTAGTTTCTTGGGCTGTAAAGGTGACAGGGAGAGATGTACTTTCCGACTTGCAAGATTCTGTTAATGTAACCTTACAATAAAGTAGAATTAGTTCATCTGGGCATGCTTCCTGTCTGGACTACCTCGCAAAGCTGATAGGCCAAAACTCACCCCAATCCAGCATTTTGGGTCTGCCAGTGGGGTGAGAATGATGGAGACCTTCCACTCTCCTGTTATTCCCCTATAACTGGTATTTATGTTGCCCCCAGGCTGGAGGTAACAGGGAATCTTCAAGATCAATAGCTCTTGAGAGACTTGTCCTCCCTGAATGTCTCCAGCCCACCTTTAAAGGCATCTCTGGCCGTCGCCATGTCTTGTGGC